TGCATACTGTCGGGTAACTAGACAACCGCTTTGAGCCATCCCGAAGGCGTGTTAAGGCGCTACATCGAATGCAAGGAGTATTATTATTATATCCCTGAATATAATAATAATAATAATAATATTATTATAATCATATCCTTGCTTCCTAATTCTTGGAATGCGAGGATAATAATAATAATAATAATAATAATAATGGGACACTTGCCTATCTATGGCTGCCATCATGCCCTGGTAATTTGAAATAAAAATTGTACCACCATCCAGTTGTGGGGGGAGGAGTTGGGTGGGTGGGGAGTTGGATGGGGTGGGGAGTTGGGTGGGGTGGGGAGTTGGGTTGGGTGGGGTGGGGAGTTGGGTGGGGTGGGGAGTTGGATGGGGTGGGGAGTTGGATGGGGTGGGGAGTTGGGTGGGTGGGGAGTTGGGTTGGGTGGGGTGGGGAGTTGGGTGGGTGGGGAGTTGGATGGGGTGGGGAGTTGGGTGGGTGGGGTGGGGAGTTGGGTTGGGTGGGTGGGGAGTTGGATGGGGTGGGGAGTTGGGTGGGTGGGGAGTTGGGTGGGTGGGGAGTTGGGTGGGTGGGGTGGGGAGTTGGGTGGGTGGGGAGTTGGGTGGGTGGGGAGTTGGGTGGGTGGGGAGTTGGGTGGGGTGGGGAGTTGGGTGGGGTGGGGAGTTGGGTGGGGTGGGGAGTTGGGTGGGGTGGGGAGTTGGGTGGGGTGGGGAGTTGGGTGGGGTGGGGAGTTGGGTGGGGTGGGGAGTTGGGTGGGGTGGGGAGTTGGGTGGGTGGGGAGTTGGGTGGGGTGGGGGAGTTGGGTGGGGTGTGGGGTGGGGAGTTGGGTGGGGGTGGGGAGTTGGGTGGGGTGGGGAGTTGGGTGGGGTGGGGAGTTGGGTGGGGGGGTGGGTGGGGGGGTGGGGAGTTGGGTGGGGGGAGTTGGGGTGGGGTGGGGAGTTGGGTGGGTGGGGAGTTGGGTGGGTGGGGAGTTGGGTGGGGTGGGGAGTTGGGTGGGGTGGGGGGGGAGTTGGGTGGGGTGGGGGGGGTGGGGTGGGGAGTTGGGTGGGGTGGGGAGTTGGGTTGGGGTGGGGTGGGGAGTTGGGTGGGGAGTTGGGTGGGGTGGGGAGTTGGGTGGGGTGGGGAGTTGGATGGGGTGGGGAGTTGGGTGGGGTGGGGAGTTGGGTGGGGTGGGGAGTTGGGGTTGGGTGGGGTGGGGGAGTTGGGTGGGGTGGGGAGTTGGGTGGGGTGGGGAGTTGGGTGGGTGGGGTGGGGAGTTGGGTTGGGTGGGTGGGGAGTTGGATGGGTGGGGAGTTGGGTGGGTGGGGAGTTGGGTGGGTGGGGAGTTGGGTGGGGTGGGGAGTTGGGTTGGGGTGGGGTGGGGAGTTGGGTGGGTGGGGAGTTGGGGGGGTGGGGTGGGTGGGTGGGGAGTTGGGTGGGGTGGGGAGTTGGGTGGGGTGGGGAGTTGGGTGGGGTGGGGAGTTGGGTGGGGTGGGGAGTTGGGTGGGGTGGGGAGTTGGGTGGGGTGGGGAGTTGGGTGGGTGGGGAGTTGGGTGGGTGGGGGGGGGTGGGGGGGGGTGGGGAGTGGGTGGGTGGGGGTGGGTGGGTGGGGGTGGGTGGGGTGGGGGTGGGGAGTTGGGTGGGGTGGGGTGGGGGGAGTTGGGTGGGTGGGGAGTTGGGTGGGGTGGGGGGGGGGTGGGGTGGGGAGTTGGGTGGGGTGGGGGTGGGTGGGGTGGGGGTTGGGGTGGGGTGGGGAGTTGGGTGGGGTGGGGGGAGTTGGGTGGGGTGGGGAGTTGGGTGGGGTGGGTGGGGGGGAGGAGTTGGGTGGATGGGGAGTTGGGTGGATGGGGAGTTGGGTGGATGGGGAGTTGGGTGGATGGGGAGTTGGGGTGGGGTGGGGAGTTGGGTGGGGTGGGGAGTTGGGTGGGTGGGGTGGGGTGGGTGGGTGGGGTGGGGAGTTGGGTGGGGTGGGGGTTGGTGGGTGGGGTGGGGAGTGGGTGGGGTGGGGAGTTGGGTGGGGTGGGGAGTTGGGTGGGTGGGGAGTTGGGTGGATGGGGAGTTGGGTGGATGGGGAGTTGGGTGGATGGGGAGTTGGGTGGGGTGGGGAGTTGGGAGGGGTGGGAGTTGGGTTGGGTGGGGGGTTGGGGAGTTGGGTGGGTGGGGAGTTGGGTGGGGTGGGGGTTGGTGGGTGGGGTGGGGAGTTGGGTGGGGTGGGGGTGGTGGGAGTTGGTTGGGTGGGGTGGGGAGTTGGGTGGGTGGGGTGGGGAGTTGGTGGGGTGGGGAGTTGGGTGGGGAGGGGAGTTGGTGGGTGGGTGGAGTTGGTGGGGTGGGGTGGGGTGGGGAGTTGGGTGGGTGGGGAGTTGGGTGGGGTGGGGGTGGGGAGTTGGGTGGGGTAGGGAGTTGGGTGGGGTGGAGAGTTGGGTGGGGAGTGTGGGGTGGGGAGTTGGGTGGGGAGTTGGGTGGGGTGGGTGGGGTGTTGGTGGGTGGGGTGGGGAGTTGGGTGGGGTGGGGTGGGGTGTTTGGTGGGTGGGGTGGGGAGTTGGGTGGGGTGGGGGGGGGGGGAGGAGATGGGTGTGGTGGGGGGGAGAGATAGTTGAGAGGTGGAGCCGCTGCTGATTAATTTATTGCTGCCTCACATTGTTTTGACTTGGTGAGTAATGAGTGAACCCATAGATTTGTTTCAACAAGTTGTGTCCCATTCATGGAGCACATGTATTTTCTACATGTAGTATATCTTTCTACATGTAGTATATCTTTCGTTAATTTAATTTATTTATCCCAAACCTGAGAGCCAGAGGTGTGAACTATTCAGACACATTATCAATAAGCCCCCAACCTATCTGACTATGGGGCTTGAAATTTTGATTAACTCTTAATGCTGGAAAACACTTCATATTATGATAATATTATTATTTATAATTAATAATCCTTGAATTTGATATAATACCTTTCATGCTGGGAGGTAAAGTGTAGCGACTGTATTTTGTAGGTGAATTTGTGCACAGAAATGTCTCACAAACGTATCTGTTCTGGAATTGGGCGACAGAGCTTTCAATGGCAAAATATCTACCTTCAGGGAGGACCTTTACATGACAGCTTGTGAAGTGCCAGATATCTTGATGTTCTCCATCACCTGTCCTACACAGATGCCAGCCTATTCCTTCCTGATCAACCCATGAGCCTCCAATGCATGCCACACATGTGCAGTGAGCACCACCTTAAAATCTATCTAAATCAGTGATTCCTTTGTAGATCTCAGTCACATTAGGTTCACCCTCCTTGTGGTAAGAAAACACAGTGCACTCTGGAACACTGACGGATTGCGTGCCTCACAGAGAGTCTTGTTGACCAGCGCTAGATAACTCCAAGGCAAGTTGGAGAATCCAGGTTTGGAACTCTTCAGCTGCAGAAGCAAGAAAGTCCTTGGTTGCAACATCAGTCGTAGAGTCTGCGCTGTCAGCCCTCACACAGAATCGGTCCCAGGTCTTAGAATATCATCTATGTAATGAAATGTTGTAAGGCAGGGCCGCATCAAATTATAAATGTTAAGTTGTTATTCTTGCTTATATGAATCAAAATGGCGAATAACACCATTTCGTACCCGAACCATTACAAACATCTGTTAATAACATGAATGTTTTTCTATCAGTTAAGAGGGAGCAGTCTGCATGAAAAGTTGAGGAAAGACGAACACCAGCCTTGGGAAGAAGGAGATAAGCTGTCACGTATTCAAAACACACAAGTGTAGTCAAATAAGCTATTATGCAGTCGAAATTGTTCGGTTCCTGAGTAAAGGATCACATATCCAATCACACATTCCCTTGAGGAATAAAAATATCATAGGAAAAGTGATTCAACTAGGGCTAACTAGAGCAGTTAGGGAAAGTAAACAACTAAAAGAAGAGACCTGTAATACTGCCGAAAAGAGCAGTAAACCCGAGGATTGGGAGGGCTTCAAAATGTCCAACAAAGAAAAACTAAGAAACTGATTAGAAAGGGGGGGAAAATGGATTATGAGGGCAAACTAGCTAGGAACATAAAGACAGATTGCAAGGCGCTCAAACCTGGTGACATACAGTTCAGAAACAAATCTATTGCTGTTCTGCCCATAATTTAGATTTATATGCCATTGCATCTCAGTTATCATTCACTTTGGAATTACAGATCAACTATAATGTAGCGTGCATGCAGTTAGTTGAGTGAGGACCACCTGAGGCAACAGCACAGGTCGTCAGCAAGTTGAACCCATCTCCGAGACCCTGATCACAGCCGCCCGTTTGTGAGAATAATGCATACTGTCGGGTAACTAGACAACCGCTTTGAGCCATCCCGAAGGCATGTTAAGGCGCTACATCGAATGCAAGGAGTATTATTATTATATCCCTGAATATAATAATAATAATAATAATATTATTATAATCATATCCTTGCTTCCTAATTCTTGGAATGCGAGGATAATAATAATAATAATAATAATAATAATAATAATAATAATAATAATAATGGGACACTTGCCTATCTATGGCTGCCATCATGCCCTGGTAATTTGAAATAAAAATTGTACCACCATCCAGTTGTGGGGGGAGGAGTTGGGTGGGGAGTTGGGTGGGTGGGGGTGGGGAGTTGGGTGGGTGGGGAGTTGGGTGGGTGGGGTGGGGAGTTGGATGGGGTGGGGAGTTGGATGGGGTGGGGAGTTGGGTGGGGTGGGGTGGGGAGTTGGGGTGGGGTGGGGGAGTTGGGTGGGGTGGGGATGGGTGGGGTGGGGAGTTGGGTGGGGTGGGGTGGGGAGTTGGGTGGGGTGGGGTGGGGAGTTGGATGGGGTGGGGAGTTGGATGGGGTGGGGTGTTTGGTGGGTGGGGTGGGGAGTTGGGTGGGGTGTTTGGGTGGGTGGGGTGGGGAGTTGGTTGGGGTGGGGAGTTGGGTGGGTGGGGTGGGGTGTTTGGTGGGTGGGGTGGGGTGGGGAGTTGGGTGGGGTGGGGTGGGGGGGGGGGGGGGAGGAGATGGGTGTGGTGGGGGGGAGAGATAGTTGAGAGGTGGAGCCGCTGCTGATTGGTCGCCGGTTTGAGGTTACCGTGGCCACCCAGTGTGTGACTGACAGATTGGGAGACACCGCAGAAAGCCCTGACCGTCAAAACCAACCGGGAGTGGAGTGAGTGGAGTGGAGTTGGGGTTTGGGCGCTGTGAGTGGAGGTGTTGCGCTGCTGCTCGAGTCGCAGCTGCAATGTCGGAGCTCGTCTTCACTGCGTTCGGGGTTCTCACCCTTTTGCATTTTTTCCTGAAAGTAATGAAGTGCCTGAGGTATTTATATTTCACCAGGTGGCACAAAGTCCCTCATTCGTTTTTCAGTGGCATGGGTGAATGGGCAGGTAAGTTGTGTGAGTGTGAGTGTGAGTGTGAGTGTGTGTGAGTGAGTTGTGAGTGACTGGACAACTGGACAACTGACTCTGAACTTTTATGTGTCTTAGTCCCAGGTTTACCTCTGATGCTCACCTCAGTAAATTCTTCATCGCTTTGCTGTCCCCCCCCCCTTTTTCGGGTATGAGACTTATTTTGCTTCGAGTCTTCGTTGCTGGTCAGAAATATTCCTGCCCGGAATTGGCAGTTCTCAATTGGGTCAGGTTTTATTTCGGCGGCAGATGAAAAACTTCAGGAGACGTAGCCGAATTGAACGTGTAACTTGTCCTGACCCATGAATTGCCCTCGTCTGTTGTCTCGTATCCCCCACCTGATGTTTTAAAGGTTAATACTAATTATCCTCGTGGTTGATATAATAATCCTTGCATTTGATGGAGCGCTTTTCACGTCTTCTAGACGATACAATACTAAATTACCTTCGTAAAGCGCCTTTCACATCCCAGGGCACCGAACAGTCGGGGGGTGGTGGCGGTTGGTATCAGGGAGGGTGGAGGGCAGAGAGAGTAGGAGAGTGGCCGAAAGCATGGTTGAAGAGGAGGGTCTTGAGGCATTCCTTGAAGGAGGCATGGGAGGGAGTGAGGCGAAAGGAATGTGGGATGGAGTTCCAGAGGGTGAGGGCAGAGAGACTGAAGTCCTGATCGTCGATGGCGGGGTGGGTAACATGAAGCGGGCTGGAGCCTGCTGAACGGAGGGAGCAGACAGATTGATAAGGGTCGGAGAGGTAGGAGGGAGCAAAGCCATGGAGGGCCTTGAAGATGAGTACAAGAATTTTGAACTCGATCCTCTGAGGGATGGGGAGCCAGTGGAGTCGGGCGAGGGTGGGTGTGATGGGGTCACGGAGCCTGGTGCGTGAGAGTACACGATCGGCAGAGTTCTGGATGATCTGCAGCTCGTGGAGGAAAGAGTTAACATAGTTGAGCCTGGTTGCAATAAGGAATCTAAAGGGTTTTGGAAACCTGAAGGGTGAGGGAGTGGAGGAGTTGTGCAATGTGCGAGTTCATGAGGTGGAGAGGCACTGATGTGAGCCAATCAGGAGAGCCTCGGTCTTGCTGACATTCAACTATAGAAAGTTGGCTCTATAGAAACTAAATGTCTCAAAGCGCTTTACAGAAAATACTGTACAGTGAGTTGACTGTACATTTGTGGGCGAAACGTGGAAACCAATTGCGCACAGCAACGTCCCACAAACAGTCGTGGATTGAGTGACCAAATTTTATTGTTTTTTTTGAATGATTATTATCCCCAGAAAAGCAATCCGCGAATTAACTAACAACTGGGTTCCTACTAACTGCTAGGTAAACAGAGGCATATGGAGTAAGGAAACTTGCCCAACATTTTGCGCTGCCTAGAATAGAACTCAGGACTCTCACTTGCAATGAATGAACGAATGAGCAATTTTTCTGAAGGATTGTTAGCCAGGCAAAAGGTGAAAATCCCTTCTCCTTTTAAATAATGCCATAGGATCATTAGTATCTACCTGAGCAGGAAGACAGGACCTTGGTTTAATGTTGTACTAAGTGGCAGCATAAACCGTGAGCTTAAAGTCCCCAACATCAGACTTCAATCCATAACCTACTGACACGGAGGCGAGAGTCCTACCAACTGAGCCAGGCTGACACCAAAACGATAGTGTTGCCCAATTAGTGCCGCAGAAATGTGGATGATCAAGTTGTCTCAAAATTTGCATTGATAGACGGAAGGATAGAAGCTTGTCTTTTCTATCAACCCTCATTCAAATGCAGGAACCAGATGAATCTGAAAACAAGCTGCGGATTATCTTAAATGCTCATGTGGAATGTTGTTGATAGTATCTGTAAATATGCTAATTAATTGCCAAATGGTCCCTTTTTATTAATAACTCAAACACAATTAATCCTGATATAGCATTATATCTTTAACCCAATATTTTTTTCTTAAAAGATGAAACAAGCATATGAAAGCTATGTCCTGTAGCTCAGTGGTTAGAGCACTCGCTTTGCAAGTGAGAGACCTGAGTTCAATTCCAGGCAGAGGGCGAAACCTTGGGCAAGTTTCCTTACTCCACACGCCTAATAATAATCCCTCCAAAAAACAAAAACAATAATTAAATTGTCAATCTACGACTGTTTGTGGGACATTGCTGTGCGCAATTGGCTGTCGCGTTCGCCTACAAATATACAGTCAATTCACTTTATAGTGTGTTCTGTGAAGCGCTTTGGGACGTCCTCATGACGTGAAAAGCGCTATATCAAATGCAAGGATTATTATTATTATTATTATTTTCCTTGCATCCAAGTATGTGGTTGCTTGTAGATTTATCAATCAATTTACTTTACTGAAACGTTACAACATAATATACATTTACATGGCACCTCACACGAAATACAGGTCTTGAATAGCTTTGCTGAATGAGATAACAATATTATTTTTATTTATAATTCATGTAAGCAACATCCACAAAGATATATTGAGAAGCCAATTGAAACACGTTTGGATTAGGTAGGAAATTTGGCCAGAACATACTTCATTGTTACTTAATATAGGGGGGAAATTTCAATACAGTACCAGAAGCTGAAACATGATGTAAAAATGGGCTGAATTGGGCCACCTTCCAATGAGGTCACCTTCTAGGGATTAATTTAGCCACTTCCCTTTAAAAATTGGCTATGGTAACAAACAAGTTTTCAGTTTGTATAAAAGAGATTTTATTTTCTCATTGAGTATTCCCTTCCTGTTTCAACCTGCATTTGAAACCCAATCTCAGTGTCATCTAATCACCACTTTTTAATTTTATCCTCTCTCCTACTGTCTTGAATTTTGATGGTGACTTGGCTTTCTTGGTTTCTCAATCAGTCAGAAAGTGTGACCTTTTGACTTGGTAAATCCTGCAGTAAATTGTCCAAATGTATTTGTTTTTAGTTATCACTGGTGCATCAGATGGAATTGGTAAGGAATACGCACATGAGGTAAGTTACCAGAATTTCTTCGTATTACAAGGTTGAATAATTAATTTTGTAATTCCAGCAGCTCAATTTCCTATTGGTATTCTGCCATTGTAATAATGCTGGAAAATGTTATTAAAAGGTCAAAGCTAATTAGGAAAATGGTATTAGAAAATAATGATGATAATAATCCTTGCATTTGATATAGCCCTTTTCGCGTCTTCTATACGTCTCAAAGCGCTTCACAGAATATACTGTAAAGTGAATTGACTGTATATTTGTGGGCTAAAGGTCAAATGTCAGTGTGATCAAAGCAAGAAAATCTATCATTTACTTTGAGGGTGAAATGCAAATGAATGCACTTTTTTAAATTAAACATCAAAGCTTTAAAAGTTACATTTTTACCAGATACAACGTATATCTTCTGATTTTTTTCACAATTAATTCACACAAATGCTTCTCGTAGAGCTTTGTAATAACACAGTGATTCATATCCATAAAACCAGAGGCAAAACAAGATGGCGTTTAATTAGGAAGCTGTTTTTGCAGTTCTTAAAAAGAACCATCTGCAAAAATTAATATTGAATTTCTTAAAATGTAGGACAAATAGTCTTACTGTCTAACACTAAGTGGAATTGTGAGCTACATTACAATGCAGCCCCATTGTTAATAATAATAATTCTTGCATTTGATATAGCGCCTTATCACGTCTTTGAGACGTCTCTAAGCACTTTACACAATATACTGTAAAGCGCCTCTTTTCCATCAAAATTTGGTTATATTGCACCCATTCAACAACAACAGCTTGGATTTATATAGCACCCTTCACGCAGCCAGCTGGTTCGTTCTATGAGTACTGACCGGCCAGTTTTTAGAGTGTGAAAGCTAAAATGGCCTAACATTCGGGTCATCGGGTCACCACCAACATCACTTCCTGCTTTGGGCATGGGCAGCAAACGAAAGGTGATGTTAGTGATCTAATGCCCCGAAAATCACGTGGAAAGTACGAAGGCCTGCTCTGAGATGCTACCCTGATTTTTTTAAATTATGGATCAGAACCACTGCATTCTAATAGGCTTCACTATACCAGGCAGGGGAGACTTATATAGCTGTCCATAGGCACTTTGTTGTATTCAGAGTACTTGATGCTAATTTTTAAAATCTAATTTTATTGATGCTTATCCGTCCCCAATTTGTTACAACAAGAAAATGATCCTTTTCATGTCTGCAAGTTCGCAAGATGACGTCAATTGCTTAAGTTTTTAGAGGTACTGGTGCACATTTTATGAGACCTAAGGCCTCAGCCCAATTGGGAGACTCTTATATAAGAAATATTCAGAGCACAGATATCATGCTTCTTGGCTGGAAAATACTTATTCAACAAAAATTATTTATATTTCTTACATTTGCTACTTGAGCCAAAGCTAATGGGAAAACAATTTGTAGGAGAAAAATCGGTTGATGTTGTTCAGTGCTAAACAGACACACTTGAATCTGTTACTTCTGGTGGTTATCACACGGTTATCACATTACCACATCGAACAATTGTAATCCCCATAAAGTGTATACTGGGAGCTCTAAAAACTTACAGATTGCATTTCTAAGCCTGCAAAACATCCTGCAACCTGCAGGATATTAATGATGAAAAGGATCATTTTGTTAATTTTAATAAAATGGGGGCTAATAAGAGTCAATATTATAAAGAATTCAAGTGTGCACTTCTTCATATGAAGCATGTTCTGCCAAACCACAGGAATTCTGCGTCAATATGATATCGTGGAGTCCTGTAGCTCAGTGGTTAGAGCACTCACTTTGCAAGCGAGAGACCTGAGTTCAATTCCAGGCAGGGCGAAACCTTGGGCTAGTTTCCTTACTCCACACGCCTAATAATAATCCCTCCAAAACCCAAAACAATAATAAATTGGTCATTTTCAACCTACGACTGTTTGTGGGACATTGCTATGCTCAATTGGCTGCCGCGTTTGCCCACAAATATACAGTCAGTTCACTTTACAGTGTGTTCTGTGAAGCGCTTTGGGACGTCCACCCGACGTGAAAAGCGCTATATCAAATGCAAGGATTATTATTATTATATTGGAGTGGAGTTCTGAATTGCTTCCAGTTTCTTTATTAAGTAATCACTTTAGAAATTGCCATTTATTCGACCAACTGCCTTTCAAAACTGATAATGTTATGAAACAATATTCTTCCCTGCAGCTTGCCAGACGTGGGTTAAACATTGTACTTGTTAGCAGAACTCAGGAGAAGTTAACAAAGGTTGCAGATGAAATTGGTAAGGTTATCATGTTTTCTGTTAGTAATATTTTTCCAGTTAAACATCAAAAATATTTACGACTTTGTGAACAAGTAGGTAATGTTTGTGTAGGTCAGTCTGACACAGTGGTAGCAATATAGCCTCTGAGTCAGAAGGTTGTGGGTTCAAGACTCGTGTTAGAATCACATAGCCAAAGTTAACATTCCAGTGTAGTTCTGGGCATTGTCAGAGGTAATATCTCTTCAGATGAGATGTTAAACCAAGGTACTGTCTGCCTGATCAAGTGGATGTTAAAGATCCCATGGGACTACTCAAAAAGAGAAGGGAGTTTCTCCCAGTGTCCTAGCCAACAATTCCCCCAAATAAAATTGTTCACACACTCCATAGCTGTTTGTGTGTATAAACTGGTCCTGAGCTTGCCCAGAGAATACAATCAATACATTACAGTATATCTGTGAAACCCTTTGAGATGTCTCGATGATGTGATAAGGCATTATACCAAATGCAAGTATTATTATTTTTCTGCCGAAAGGTCATCGGCCTGAAATGTTAACTCACTGTCCTCTATCCATAGATGCTGCCTGACCTGCTGAGTGTTCCCAGCGACTTTCTCTTTCAGATTTCCAGCATCTGCAGTATTTTGCCTTGTGTTTATTATTATTTATTAGTTGTGTATCATTAGAATTTACTAGTTATAAGAACATAAGAATTAGGAGCAGGAGTAGGCCATTCGGCCCTTCGTGCCTGCTCCGCCATTCAATAAGATCATGGCTGATCTTCTCACCTAACTCTGATTACCTGCGCTATCCCCATATCCCCTAATCCCTCTATTTTTCAAGAATCTATCAGTCTCAGCCTTGAAAATGTTCAAGGACTGAGCATCTACAGCCTTCTGGGGTAGTGAATTCCATAAGTTCACTACCCTCTGAGTGAAGAAATGTTTCCTCAACTCTGTTCTAAGAGGCTGACCCTTAATTTTAAGACTGTGACCCCTGGTTATAGATTCTCAGGGGAAACAGTCCCTCTGTGTCTACTTTATCCAGCCCTTTAAGAATCTTATAAGTTTCAATAAGATCCCCCCTAATTCTTCTGTACTCTAGAGAATACAGCCCTAGTTTATTCAGCCTATCCTCATAGGTCAGTCCCCTCATCCCAGGAACTAACCGAGTGAATCTACGCTGCACCCCCTCTAGGGCAAGTATGTCCTTTTTTAAATAAGGAGACCAAAACTGCACACAATACTCTAGGTGCGGTCTCACCAAAGCCCTATACAGTTGCAGCAAGACTTCCCTACTCTTATATTCTAAACCTTTCGAAATGAACGCTAACATGCCGTTCGCCTTCTTAGTTGCTTACTGCACCTGCAAACTAACTTTTTGGGACTGGTGTACAAGGACACCCAAATCCCTTTGAATACTAACACTATCTAACTTCTCCCCTTCCAGAAAATAATCTGTTCTTTTATTCTTGCTACCTAGGTGAATAATTTCACACTTGCTAACATTGAATTCCATCTGCCACCTACTTGCCCACTCCCCTAGCCTATCTATATCTTGTTGCAATCTTTTTGCATCATCCTGAGAGCTCACTCTGCTACCTAGTTTAGTATCATCCGCGAATTTAGACACATTACATTCAATGTCCTCGTCCAGATCATTGATGTAAATGGTAAATAGCTGAGGCCCAAGCACTGATCCTTGTGGCACTCCACTAGTTACATCCTGCCAATTCGAGAATGATCCGTTTATCACTACTCTCTGCTTTCTACCCGATAGCCACTCTTCTATCCATGTTAATATTTTCCCATTAATCCCGTGGGCCTTGATCTTGAGTAACAGCCTTTTGTGTGGCACCTTGTCAAATGCCTTCCTAAAATCCAAATATACCACATCTACTGGTTCCCCCTTATCCAACCTGCTGGATACATCCTCAAAAAATTCTAAAAGGTTAGTCAAGCATGACTTCCCTTTTGTAAAGCCATGTTGACTCTGCCTAATCTTTTTATGGTCTTCCAGGTATCCCATAACTACGTCTTTTATTAAGGACTCAAGAATCTTCCCTACAACTGACGTCAAACTAACTGGTCTAAAGGTTTCCCTATTTTCTCTCCCACCCTTCTTAATTAGTGGAGTTATGTTTGCAATCAATGGGAACTTTTCCAGTATCCACAGACTTTTGGAAGATTATAGACATGCCATCCACTATCTCAGTAGCCACCTCCTTTAAAACTCTCGGATGCAGGCCATCCGGTCCAGGGGATTTATCGGTTTTAAGACCCGACAATTTACCTAGAACCATCTCTTTACTAATGTTAATCTCCCTAAGTTGCTCGCTAACATTGTCTTCTTGGTCCTCTATTTTTGGTATGTTTCCAGTGTCTTCTACGGTGAAGACTGTAGAAAAATACTTGTTTAATGACTCTGCCATGTCTTTGTCCCCTATTATAATTCCTCCGGTCTCTGCCTGTAATGGACCCACATTCACCCTCGCTAGCCTTTTCCTCTTTATATATTTGTAAAAACTCTTGGAGTCTGTTTTTATGTTCTTTGCTACTTTGCCCTCATAATCTATTTTCTCCCTCTTGATCAATTTTTTGGTCCTCCTCTGTTGTTCCCTAAAGTTCTCCCAATCCTTGGGTTTACTACTGATCTTCGCTGTTTTATAGGCTTATAGTTATGTAGTAAACTCTGCATCCCCTGATTTCCAGTGAACTTAGAACATGAAAGCAAGAGAGAAGAAACAATTTGGCTTATCAAGGACACTTTTTACACAAATCTTGTACATTAAATTTTGTCATGAACTCTACCTCACCATTAAAATCCCTGAGGAAAGTTGTGTTTAATTTGTCTCTGAGCTCAGGGATCATTTCCACTGTTCAACGCTATCTGATATATTGGAATATAAAATGAAAGTAGTAACCCATCACTACCACTTGTGGGGGAGACCAAAACCAGGGGCCATCAATATAAAATAGTCACAAATAGTTCAAATAGGGAAGTTAGAAGAAATTTCTTCACATAGAGAGTAGTACTCGACATGCTCCCCCTTGATGACATCATCTGTAGACATGGGATCAACTTCCACATGTATGCGGATGACGCCCAACTGTATCTTTCTGTCTCCACCCTCAATTCCAGGACCACTGGATGAGGGCAAATTTCCTACAGTTGAATGTGAACAAGACTGAGGCCCTCCTGATTGGCTCGCGCTAGCGCCTCAGCACCTCAGGCTCTGGTAGCATCAACCTCCATGGTTGTCCTCTCCTGCATCAAACTTCATGATCCCATCTGCCCCACTCTCGCTCAACTCCATTAAATCCCTATCCTTCAGAAGATCCAGTTCAAGATCCTGGTCCTCACCTACAAAGCCCTCCACGGCCTCGCCCCACCCGACCTCTGTGACCTCCTAACCCCCTACCAACCCACCTGCTCCCTTCACTCAGCCGGCTCCAGCCTGCTCCACGTGCCCCGACCCACCCGCCTCACTATTGGCGGGAGAGCCTTCAGCCACTCTGCCCCCAACCTCTGGAATTCCATCCTTCAATCACTCTGCCTCGCCCCACCGCTTAGCCTCCTTCAAATCATAGAATCATACAGCACAAAAAGAGGCCATTCAGCCCATCGAGTCTGTGCCGACTCTTTGAAAAGACCAATGTAATGTTAATCCCTCTCCCCAGCCCTTTCCCCATAACTCTGCAAACCCGTCCTCCTCAAATACTCATCCACCGAGTTTTTAAAAGTAGTTATCGAATCGGCCTCGACCACCCTTTCAGGCAATGCGTTCCAGATTCGAACTCTCTGCGTGAAAAAATTCTTCTCACCTCCCCTCTGCTTCTTTTAGAGACCATTTTAAATCTGTGATCTCGAGTCACCGACACACCCACCAGTGGAAACAGTTTTTCCCTTTCTAACCTATCAAATCCCCTCATGATTTTGAAGACCTCTATTAGGTCTCCTCGTAACCTTCTCTGCTCCAATGAGAATAATCCCAGCCTCTCTAGCCTTTCCTCATAATCAAGGTCCCTCATTCCTCGTACCATCCTCGTAAATCTCCTCTGCACCCTTTCCAATGCCTTAACATCCTTCCTATAGTGTGGTGCCCAGAACTGGGTGCAGTATTCTAACTGAGGCCTAACCAGTGTTTTATATAGGTTAATCATAACCTCCTGACTCTTGTACTCTATGCCCCTATTTATAAAGCCTCGTATCCCATATGCCCTTTTTACAGCTTTATCTACCTGTCCTACCTTCAAGGATTCATTTACGTGCACCCCCAGGTCTCTCTGTTCTTTCACCCCCCTTAAGATTGTATTACCAGCCTATATTGCCTCCCCTCATTCTTTCTACCAAAATGCATTACCTCGCATTTCTCCACATTGAATCTCATCTGCCATGTGTCTGCCCATTTTACCATTCTGTCTATGTCTTCCTGTAGTTGGCTGCTATCCTTCTCACTGTTTACCACCCTACCTAACTGTATTGTCCGCAAACTTGGAAATGGTACTTGCTATACCCAAGTCCAGATCAATTATGTATATTAAGAAGAGCAGTGGTCCCGCCTCAAGACTCTCCTCTTCGACCATGCCATCGGTCACCCCCCTTCCGCTCCCCTCCCTTCTCCCCCCCTGACCCCAGCTCGGGTCTGAAATGCTGTACACTGTCCAGCACCTTGGGATGTCCTTCCGACGTGAAAGGCGCTAACAAATGTAATCTTGTTGTTATTGTAGTGGGAATGTGGAACATGCTACCACAAGAAGTTGTTGAGGCAAATAGCATAGATGTCTTTGAGGGAAAGCTAGATAGGTACATGAGGGAGTAAGGAATAGAAGGTTATGCTTGAAGGCTTAGTTGAGGAAGGGCAGGAGGAGTCTCATGTGGAGCATAAACACCGGCATAGACCAATTGGGCCGAATGGCCTGTTTCTGTGCTGTATACTCTCATGTAATGTATTTAATGAAAATGTATTAATTATCCTGACAATAGTTCAAAATAATAGTTCAATGAACAGTGTGAAAAGAAAACCAGAATGGAAACTATATTTGAGAATATTGTTTAGGAAAGAATTTGGCTGATCATTATGTTCTTTAAATATTGATAGAGAGAACTTCATGTTGCAACTGAGCATTTGCAAAGTGCATTCAATCTTCTAGAGATTTGCCATGATACAAAAGCAATTTGTCTGAAGCTTGCATGTTAAAGCATATTCAGCTGAATAGCACAAACACTCCGGTATCCATTATCAGATTTTTGCAAATAACAGCTAACAAACAAGTGATTGTAAGGGTAACTAACCAATTACTGTAACTGATATAGCAATTGAGATCATACCAAAACTTTTTAGACCATTTGTTCATCTTCAATCTAACATCCCATTACATCTTTAATTATGAGTTGAAAGTTTTTCTTCATCCTGTTAATGCATAAATGTTAACTACATATCTGTTTCAGATGACAATTTTGAGAAGCTTCTACTATATAATAATTGTTGCATTGGACAGTGTGTTATCACATTGAAAAATCTCAAAGCATTTCATAGGATATACTGTAAACTCTGGTGACTGCAGTGTGTAGGTGAACACTACAGCCATGTCCTGAAGATTGCAACTTTAACAGTGCAGCACACCCTTGGCCCCACATTGGAGTGTCAGCCTAGAGTTCAAAGTCTTGAGGTGGGGCCTTGATCCTACAACCGTTTGACTTGAAGATGAGAATGCTTCCAACTGAGCCAGGCTAAAGTTTAGTTTAGCTCAGATTGCCAGCATTCAGTGTTTCATTTTATCTAGACAACAAATGGCATCCTTTTATATGGGGGGAAGAAAAGATCTGTTCAATTCTAAATTGCCCAAATTAGTTGCATTTATTTAATTAAATAACCCACACTTGGACCAATATCCCAGAGGTGTTGAATCCAGATTAGCTTGACCTCTTAAATTATTTATCATTGGAGTTTTAACTACAAGTTTGAATAAATTGCAGAGCAATTTACAGGAAGACAAGTGAAGATTGTTGTGGTTGACTTTACCAAGAGAGACATTTATAATATCATTGAAGAACATCTGAGAGGGCTTGAAATTGGGATTCTGAGTAAGTATGTTTTATGTTGAGCAGGTTGGAATAGTACATTCCTTTCCAAAAATCCTGATTGTTACCGGATCTGAAGGTTGAGGCTCAGATGATGATGAATAATAACGACAACAAATTGCATTTATATAGTACCCCTCATGCAGGATAGAGCCCCAGAGCGCTCAACAGTGGCACAACACAGAATAAAAATAGTTGCGGGAGAAGACCTAGGTTAGAGATCTGTATAGTGCGCAGTTTGTGGAGGGAAGTCTGGTGAGTGGGGCATCAGTCTGACCAAGCCTGGACTTGATGAAAGTGTGGATGAGGTTCTTGGTGACTGAGGGGGTGGGGGGGGTGGCGGGTGGGGAGAGACAGTGACAGGTGGCAGAAAAATAAGTGTTAAATTCAAATGGCCACAGACTATGAATTATTGTTACATTTGTATAAAATATAGCAAAAATATTGGTAGTTTGGTTATTTCAAATATGCTCATGAACTTTTATTTCCATGTCTGATTGTCTTTGCAGTTAACAATGTTGGAATGTTGCCCAACCCACATCCATCTAAATTTCTTGACATGCTCAGTAGAGATAAGGTATGCTGCTCCTTTCATCATCAACAACAACAAAATTACATTTATAGAGCGACTTTCGCGTCCGGAGGACGTCCCAAAGCGCTGAACAGTCAGGTGTCAGGGCCCGAGCATGGGGGAGGAGTGGTGTGGGGGTGAGGGAAGGCAGAGAGGTGGGAGGGAGACCAAAGGCACGATCAAAGAGAAGGGTATTGAGACCGACCTTGAAGGTGGCAAAGGAAGAAGCGAGGCAAAGGGACCGTGAGATGGAGTTCCAGAGTGTGGGGGCAGAGAGGCTAAAAGCCCGGCCACCGATGGTAGGGCGGTGGTGTGGGAGACATGGAGCAGGCCGGAGCCCGATGAACGGAGGGAGCGGGCAAGTTGGTATGGAGTCAGCAGGTCAGAGAGGTAGGAGGGGGCAAGGCCATGGATGGCCTTAAAGGTGAGGACGAGGATCTTGAACTCGATCCTCTGGGGGATGGGGAGCCAGTGGAGTCGGGCGAGGGTGGGAGTGATGGGGTCGCGGAACCTGGTGCATGAGATTACATGAGCTGCAGAGTTTTGGGTGATCTGCAGCTTGTGAAGGGAAGAGTTGCGAAGGAGGGAGTTTCTGTAATTGAGCCTTGATGTGACAAATGCGTGGGTGAGGGTTTCGGCAGCCTGAGGGATGAGGCAGTGGCGAGTCTGGCAAATTATTCAATATCTAATACCTAAATCTTATATAAGTTATGTTTCAAATTTACAATATTCAGCCATATCTTTTATTGAATGACTTAAGGAACACCATGCTCAGTTAGTAATATTTCAGCTGCACTCAGATTCACACCTTCTGACCTTATTCTGTGGTGTGCATACGTTACATGGGCACAAACGAAGTTCAGACTTACCCGGGCTCCCAATAAAATACCTAGAAATTGCTCTGCGGTCTCTTTTATTTCAGACCTGCTGTTCCCTCTCTCCAAACACTCTTTGAATAACGTTTCACTATCAAAACTTGATTTATGTGTTTGACAGGAATTCTCAAAGATTCGATTCAAGATGTAAAAGAACATTTTTATATATGTGAAGTGGAGAATAACCTTGACGCAAATGTTGAGATCTGCATTTTTATTTAGAACAGGATTACATTTGAAAATGTATTCAAATGTTTGAAAGTGCATCTAGGAGAACTTCGATAAAGAGTACAGTCAGAAGGTTAAAATTCTGTGTGGGTGATTGTGAGTTCATGTTCTGGGCTGAAACAAAATTTGGTTCCTTAACATCTAGAGTCAAGTAGCAAAGGTTTAAGAGTACAGTTAGGTTTACTTTAATAGGGTTCTGTAACTAATGGCTGGGTGGTACTTCTCTCAACTGCTGCTGCTGCTGCAGTAAATACAGTGTGCCTCCAGCAATGAGCGATCAAAGCTATTTTGTGATCTCAATAATCTAATTACATTAATAATTTTGACGGGATCTCTGACGATAAGCTGTTCATTTTGGGTGAAAAAAGCTGCTGTGAGAGAATTTAAAATGACTACAACTATGTGTTCTAATTCTGATATTTATTTTGTGCAACAGACCATCGATGACTTAATCAATGTCAATATGTTATCTGTCATCAAGGTATGTGATCGATCACTAATGATTTGTTTTTTGCTAGTAGAACTGGGTGATCCTAAGTATTAATGACGCTGCATTCTTCACATTTTCTCATGTTGGAAGATGTACGTGACAAAATAATGAATTGGCTATTTGCAAGTTTAAGGGAAGGCTTATGTACATGTTAAATCCTTAATATCATGGTCAATGATCTTTGTTAGTTCATTAGGTGTCTGAGTGTTCTATTCGGTAGGCTTTTAAAAAGAAAAGGCATTGTTAATTCTATGTTGCTGAAACATAACAGTTACATTTTTCAATTTGGTTTGATTTTTCAACTTGATTTGAAAAGTATTTTTAGAACTTTTTTATGTTGAGGAGCGCACGGAATTTACATAAGCTGATCCTTGCCTCCTTTGCACTAGAATTGCTCCTTTGTAGCACTCACCTTTTTATGCAATGTCTTTTCAGCATTTAACAATCAAATTCTCTATAAACTTTATTAACAATGGCTCAATTGCCAGCATTTTTGCCTCTGAGTCAGAAGGTTGTGAGTTCATGATAGATATTAAAAATCCCATGGCACTATTCAAAAAGAGAAAGGTCCCCTGGCCAACAATCCGCTAGTCAAAATTGGTCATTCATCTCCTGGCTGTTTCTGAAACATTATCCTGCACAAGTTAGTTTCTGTGTTTGTGTGGAAATACATAGCTACTACACTTTACAGAAAATGTTATGAAGCACTTTGAGATGATCATTACATTTACTCTATTCCCCTATTGCGTTCCAGTCTCTTTTAGAATATGGCAGCATAACTATCTAATGCAGGCTTCTGCCAGTTAAAACAAAATCAGTTGATTTACACACAGAGCAAAATTAAAGACAAAATAAGTCATATGTTGAGCATATATAATGTAAGCTAGGAGAACTAAAAATGTTGAAAGTAATTCTTATCTCAACAACTTGCATTTATAGCATGCCCCACGCAGGCTAGCATCCCAGAGCGTTTGACATATGGGTATGAGACGCTACTATTCCAAGATTATAGAGTTAATCTTATGGATTTGTAGTCTATACTGAGGGCAGTCTACATTGTCCCCAGTACAATCACAAGGATAAGTCTAATTGTTAGCCAGAGTGACACAATTTCCACACAACACAATGTACATAGTGATACCCATTATAACGTGTACCAGTTTAGTACGGGTCTGTTTATGCAAGTGTACTGTGGACTCACATTGTACAGTCCACATTACAGTGTGCAAAGTGGTCCGGGATGCAACCGTGCATGAAGGGCGCTATATAAATGAAAGTTGTTGTACAAGACCCATGGTACAATTCCAGCTTCCAATATTGGTGTTGATGTCAATTCCTGAGGGCCACATGTGTGTTATGTGCAGGAAGCACTGTTGATGTTGCTTCAGGAAGGAAGTGATATCATAGGTGCTTCCTGGTACAGAAGCAAAGTCAGTGATTCTCTGATGGCCTGAAGGCATTGACTGGCATCGATTTGTTTTTTAATTATTATTATTATGTCTCATTATAATGTAAGGTCAGAGTTTATGGACCCAACCCACACGTTATAATGGCAATGCAATATTATCAGGTAATGCAGGGAATGTTTATTCATCATAAGCCCCTAAACCCTTTCCCAAATTGACTTTCAGTATTTGGGTTTTGTAGCAAAGGCAACAATTTGAAATGGGTGAGAGATAATTGTATAGGTTTTCATTTTGTCTGTCTTCAATCCGTATTGTTGGACCTATTGAGAAGATTGATTTTTATTTTTGATTAACTTGAATAAAATGCAGCATTAATTCTTTGCTACAGATGACCCAGCTTATCCTCCCACAGATGAAAAATAGGTAAGAATATTTCTTTTTTATTAGTGATTAGAATCTCTTTTTATTTTAAAAGAAAGTTGGTGTCCAACTATCTTTCTACTTTTCTCCTCAGTCACATATAATAATCCTTGCATTTGATACAGTACGTTATCACTTCATTGAGACGTTTCAAAGCGCTTCACAGAATATATTGCAAAGTAGATTGACTGTATTTTGAGGGTGAAACATGGAAGCCAATTGCTCACAGCAGTGTTCCACAAACAGTCGTGGATTGAGTGACCAAATTTTTTTTGTTTTGTTTTTGGAGGGATTATTACTCCTGGAAAGTGATCCGCCAACCAACTAATCAACTACTACTAGGTAACCAGAGACGTGTGAAGTAAGGAAACTTGCCTAAGATTTTGCGTTGCCCAAGAATCGAACCCGGGTCCTCTCACTTGTGTGGCGAATGCTCTAACCAATACACTACAGGACTCCACATATGCCTCTGCTCCTGATCTCCAGCTTCCTCATGCTGAGTGCATTTCCCTAAAACACAGTGGTGCCTCTGGCACCCCACCCAACTGGACATTGTGTGATCTCTAGCAGTGAGTCTCAGATTGCAGATGACACCAGCAAATTCATGACTCCTTCATACTAGTGAACTCCTGGCCCCAGAAGCATATATGCAGCTATATCCATTGCAATATCAGGGTTGACCCTAGAAGTGTTTTATTAGTTTCTGTAATTTTTTTAAATTCAGATTTATCTATTTTTTTTAAAAAAGCAGTTAAATTGGCTAAGTCTAAGGTAGAAATCTAAGCGGTTTTATTCTCAAACCTATCTTTAAAGATGAGTTTGAAAAGACACCTTGTTGATCAGAATTTCTATACCGTAATTATGAATGAATTCAGGAATAATGGAGTTGTGACCTCATTTTTAGGTTTAATTTGTGTGAAGCATTTTGAGGCATCGTCTGGATGTGAAAGGTGCTCGCATAAATGTGAGTTGTTATTTATTGTAATGTTTGTTCATGGACAAACCTAAACTTGAAAATACCTTTTGCAATTTAAAAAAATGCACAAGATGCAGTTGAGACTTCAATTGGTATATCAGAATCTTGAAATGATAGATTTTCCTCTTTAACAGTGATTATGCCTTCTCTTTGTGAAGCTTACCAAGCATTGTTATGAAAACAATCACAGATTACACGCTGCTTGTCTTTGAAAACAATATTATGACTGGATTTGAGTCAAGGACGTGGATTTTTTTTATTTAATGTCGGGTTGCCTTGCCTCATGCACATCAGGTAGAATTACTCCTTTGCAATACCTACAATACAAAATTACATTTGTATAGCAGCTTTCACATTGGGAGGACGTCCCAAGGCGCTGGACAGTTAGAGATTTGGACCCGGGCTGGGAGTCGGGATTGGAGAGAGAGTACGAGGGTAACCAAAGGCTCAATCAAAGAAAAAAAACATTTTGTTTTGAGACGAGTCTTGAAGGAGGGAAGGGGCAAGTCGGAGGGATTATGGGATGCAGTTCCAGAGGATGGGGGCAGAGAGGCTGAAGGCCTACCTGCCAATGATGGGGAGGGCAAGGCAGGGACATGAAGCAGGCCAGAGCCCACTGAGCGTAGGGAGCTGACAGGTTGGTAGGGGCTTAGTTCGTAGAGGTAGAGAGGAGTGAGGCCGTGGAGGCCGTGTAATTTTGTATTGTAGGTATCGCAAAGGAGTCTCAACTGCATCTCTACCAGCTTGTGAATTTTTTTAAATTGCAAAAGGTATTTTCAAGTTTAGGTTGTTCCATGAACTGGTACTTTGGACTAACCAGTGAAGTTATAGGAATGTATTTCTTTTAAGACCAATGTCTGACCAATTTGGGTTGGGGAAAGATTTAAATTGTTGAATATGTATTTGCAACAGTTCACAACCAATGTTTGATATCGCATGAATTCTGTTTTGAAAATTAGAAATTCTCCAGTATGACCATTTTCTGAGAAGAGAATGAAAAATTGCTCCAGGATAATAATAAAAAAAATTCTTGCATTTGATATAGTGCTTTATCACGTCCGTTTTATACCTTCTCTTTACAAAGCTTGTGCAGTGATATATTATGCAAACCAAATATTGTGTTTTTAGACAGAAGGGGCTGATACTGAACATATCTTCTGGTCTGACCGTTGATGCAGTTCCTCTCTACTGCTTGTACAATTCTTCTAAGGTGAGTTTTCTTTTTAAAAAAGTTACCATCTAGTAGTCACATTGCCAAAAAGCCTAGGGCTTTTTTTCATGTAGCTGTGAGAATGTAGTAATTTTGGTAACTATGAAACTCATGAGGTAATGGATAAATATTTTAAGCCTGGGCAATTTACAGGGGAAAAATACTTTTTTTTAAAAAAAAATTTCAGTCTTTTTATCTTTTCTCCCTTTGGAAGCACTTTTAATCCAACAGGTTCTGTTACAATTCTAAAACCCCACTGCATTGTTTAAAAGACAATTCTTGGACATGCCTGTAAGTTTAATTCTTGTGCAGAGTATAGTTTTGCCTGGACAACCTCAACAAAATAACAATCATCTGTGATTGGATCTGTTCTGGTGCCTCCCCTGCTTTTGTCAACTAACATATTGCACATGCTCTAGGTGGTAGTTTCCATAGACCTTAAGATCCCATGGTACTATTCACAAAGAGAGGGGAGTTTCTCCCAATCTCCTGACCAATATAACTGCCAAATAAATTGATCACTCACATCATGGCTATTTGTGGGACCTCTCCATGTGTACGTTGGCTGCCACATGTCCTACAAATAAGGATTATTGTTCTATTCATTAATTAATGCCAGCAATTAATTAAGAAACAGTAGGAATATGATAAAAGGCATCCTTTAAATTTCTTTTGACTGATCAACCCTTCTTCCTGCCCCATCCCTACACTTTGGTTTGTCCCTCAGGCTTCCCACTTGTTTTGACCATCATATTTTTCTACATGTATAAAAAAAATGAGCCTTTTTTAAAAAAATTCCAGCCACAAGAACAACTTTTTATTATAACATTTGACATTTAGGGCATTATCTGTTAAAGCACTGCAAAATTGCAACCCAATTTTAAACCCTTCCCAAGCCTCTCTACTCAAATAATATGATTACTGTTCTTTTATTATAATCCTTATTTATTACACATTCTTTACAAATTATTTATAATTTGTGGAGTCCTGTAGCTCAGTCGTTAGAGCACTCGCTTTGCAAGCAAGAGACTCGAGTTCAATTCCAGGCAGGGCGAAACCTTGGGCAAGTTTCCTTACTCCACACGCCTCCAAAACAAATAATAATAAATTGGTCATTTTCAATCTACGACTGTTTGTGGGACATTGCTGTGTGCAATTGGCTGCCGCGTTCGCCCACAAATATACAGTCAGTTCACTTTACAGTGTGTTCTGTGAAGCGCTTTGGGACGTCCTCCCGACGTGAAAAGCGCTATATCAAATGCAAGGATGATTATTATTATTATTAATTATAATAACTTGCAGAATAGTCCAAATATAATTTCAAGGCTGAAAGCAACAAGTTATTTTTCTCAATAAATTTATTTTTTAGATTTTTATGGAAAGGTTCTCCAATGCGTGCAAAGCAGAATATGGCTCCAAAGGAATTATCATACAGGTAATTATCAGATTTATTCCTATGTTTGAAATGAATAAAAAGGCATTGGTTTTGTTCCATTTTTGCAATAATACCTAGCACCACGTGTTTGTCAAACAATGGGGTCAAATCTATATGGAATTGGCCAGAGAGCAATTTTCATCAATACCTTTTTAAAGAAGATACCTGCACTTACAGTGTCCTAATACCAGCGGGCAACAAAGGATAAACTTATTGCAGACAGCTTTTTTGCAATGATTTACTTAATATCTATGCTGATTTCCAGAACAATTTTGTGCTATGGCCGAAAAAAGAGAAGGTAATTGGATGAGATCTGGCAAAAAGCGGCTGGACAGACTGAAGAAAAGGTTGGATGAGCAACCAGTTGGCAAAATTTCAATGAGAGAGCTTTTGTGATTCTGTGTAAAATAAATATTCTGTTAGGTCGACTCAGGGTTGTATGTCTGTCTACCTTTAAATTTACTTCCGGGAGGAGGGGAAGGTAAGAATACGCATGACAGCACAGCCACCCTGGCTCATCAGTAGGACTTGCCGACCAGTCACTGGGGGCAGGAAATCCTCCCATTCAGCTCCTGTTAATCCTGCAAGCCAAAGCCCTAACAGGTAGGGTGGTACTAGCTGGACAAGCAGCAGGAAATCTTATCAGGCATTGCTCTCAATGGCAAGCCATGCGTTTTTAAGCTGGTTAGACTCCAGCAATACCCCAACGCATACTCTTAACGTCCCCAAGCCTTGGCTCTTGTCAACCTGCACCTAATACTTTCTGGAATTAGGTAAGCAGGATGTGTCCCTTCAGGGAAGGAGTGTACACTCCATTCCAATAAACATCTGTGAAATTTCCATCGCCATGCTTAAGAGTATCTAAATCATCCCACCTACACATGGAGTAAGCAAAGATTATTCATATAGGTGGGATACATGGAACTCCATTTGGTTTGGATACTCTTATGGTGATTGGTTTTCACGTGTGTCAGACACCTGGCTAACCAAAACAACTTTACTTTAAGTACTACAGCTGTGGTTCAAATATATCTTTGGATGATATAATTGTACGTGTCAAGGTTTCCTCTGTAGAATATTTACAATACTGAAGTACAATATTATTAAATGTTTGTATCCACCCATTCACCATCTAGATATGTAGTGTATAGACTGAATTTAAAAGGTGTCAACATCCTCCCTTCAGAAAAGTCAGATGTTTTGTCTTTAACATTTTCTCTTTGATAAATGTTCAAATCTTGATATATAATGGCCTTCTTAGAGATTAGTTTGCAGGAATTATTGAGACAAATGATTTGAAGCAATTCACTTAACATCATTATGGATCCTTATTAGGCAACAGCACTTCAACTAGTTGTGTTCTGCCTCCCACAATGGCAGTCTGAGCTTGGTTATAAAAACTTAATACTTGGAAGTATGTAGAATTTTGTGTAATGCAAAACCTCCAGCCAACAGCAACAACAACAAATTGCATTTAGCGAGTACCTTTCACGTTGGTGGAACATCCCAAGGCACTGGACTTAAAAGGTTTGCATCTGAGCTGGGGTTTGGAATCAAGAGGGTTGGAGAGCAGGGGAGGTGACCAAATGCATGGTCGAGGAGGAAGATCTTGGGAAGGAGGCAAGGGAGAGGGAAAGGCGGAAGGACTCTAAAATGGAGTTCCAAAGGGTGGCGGGTGAAAAGCCCAACTGCTGATGGTGGGGTGGGACGGGCAGGGACTAAGGAGAAGCCAGTGCCTGCTGAGAGGATAGATTGGTAAACGTTTAATAAGTCGCAAAGGTAGGGAGTAGCAAGACCATGGAGAACTTTAAAGGTGAGGACGAGGATATTGAACTTGAACCTTTGCACGAATGGGAACCAGTGAAGCCTGGCAAGGATGGAGTTAAGTGGGTCACGGAGCTCAGATACAAAATGTTTGGGATTTGTCATTGGTTAATATTAAGACCCAAAAGCAGCCTGTGGATTGTTGAGTGAAACCGTGTTGATTTCCACTGCTGACAATTTTCAGCTGTATTTTGTTTTTTCTTCTGACTATTTCAGGCAGAACTTACCCCCCATTGCCAGGTGTCATGAGGCTGTGCTTTCAACAGGAACTTGTGCAATGCTTCTACTTGTGTCTATTTAGAGGAGTAGGAGGCATGGCTAAGGTGGCTCATTTTATAACTTTTAATTCCTTGTCTATTGCCAAAAACATGGCCTCCATTTGGCACCCACCTCTGAGATTGGGCAGATTGTTAACCTGAAAACAGAGAGAATCATACCAGTTAGGCAAAACTAGAGAGAAGCAGCACTTGAGTGAGATAGTAACAAAGTGAGAAACATAGAATGAGAGCTGGAATTAATCTCTGAAAAGGAATATGGCCTGAACTCAAATGCTTTTATACAGCTTTTACACTGGAGTAAGTTCTAACGTTTTACAATGATAAGACAGATACATATTATCATTGAATTATACAGCACAGAAGGAGGCCATTCGGTCCATCGTGTCTTTGCCGGCTCTTTGAAAAAGCTATCCAAATCAATCCCACTCCCCCGCGCTCTCCCCATAGCCCTACAAACTTGTTCTCCCCAAATAATTATCTATTTCTCTCTTAAAAGTTGTTATCAAATCGGCTTCCAACACCCTTTTAGGCAATGCATTCCAGCTCTGAACAACTCGCAGTGTCAAAACATTTCTCCTCACCTCCCTTCTGTTTCTTTTAACAACTATTTTAAATCGGTGTCCTCGGGTTACCGACCCACCCTCCAGAGGAAATAGTTTCTCTTTGTTCACCCCATCGAATCCCCTCATAATTTTGAAAGCTTCTATTAAGTCTCCCCTTAACCTCCTCTGATCCATGGAGAATAATCCTAGCTTCTGTAGCCTCTCCTGATAACTGAAGTCCCTCATTCCTGGCACCATCCTGGTAAATCTCCTTTCCACCCTCTCCAATGTCTTGACATCTTTCCTAAAATGTGGTAGCCAGAACTGAGGCCTAACCACTGTTTTATAAAGGTTTATCATAACTTCCTGACTTTTGTATTCTATGCCTCCATTTATAAAGCCTAGTATTCCGTATGCTTTTTTAACAGCTTTATCTACCTGTCCAGGCATCTTCAAAGACTTAATTATGTGAACCCCCAGGTCTCCTCATAAAATGCATCACTTTGTATTTCTCCACATTAAACTTCCATCTGCCACATGTCTGCCCATTTTACCAGTCTGTCTATGTTCTCTTACAGTCTGCTACTATCCACCTCACTGTTTACTGCGTTTTGCACCGATTCCATGATGTCTTCAACCCTGGCACCAGGGAGGCAACATACCATGCAAGAGTCACGTCTTTGGTTGCAAAAACGGCTGTCTATTTTCTCCATTGTGTCCCTAATGACAATTGCATTGATACACTTCCCTGTGTCCCCCTGTGCATCCATTTGCTTTTGACTCCCCTCCCGAGAGGTGTCATCACCCTGACCAGTATTCAGTACAGAAAACTGGTTTATGAGTGCCACACTCTCAGGGGATTTCTGCACTGCCCATCCCCTCTTCCTACCGTGTCAGGTGGTCACCCATTCATTCTCCTTCTGAATTCTTTGTGGCAGTGGGGTGACCACCTCCTGAAACATTCGATCCATGAACTCTTTAGCCTTCTATATGCTATATAGTGACCCCAGCCTCTCCTCAAGCTCAGAAACCCTGAGCTCAAGCAGCCAGAGGCACTTCTTACACACGTATTTGTCCAGGGCACGCAAAGCATCCTGGAGTTCCCATCAAGCACACATTGTGCTTGGAACCAGTCACAGTTGCCCTGCTATATTCCCAGACATGTTTTATATTATTTTAATATAACTATTGTATATTTTATAATTATGCACCTCTTTCCCACGCTCATAAAATTCCTTAGCAGAATTCTCACTCTGCTGAGCTCTCTGCTCAGTGAGGCTCTCACAAGTCTTCCCCTTTATATAGGACTCAAACAGAAGTGCCCAGTTTTGACTTGTCAGCAAATTTATTAATCCCCAATACCTGGCCTAGGATTAACTGCTAATTGACTTGTTTGCCCGCTTACATATAAGGTTGTCTCTACCTCAAGAAAGATTTCCCATTCTTCTGCTGATTGAAAGAGTTCTCTCTTGCTCTCTCATATCTCTCTTGCTGAATAATTCTCACTAAATTCCTGCATAGACTTCTCATTCTGTTCCACCTCACTCAGTTCCCTCCTCAATGCTGGGCTTTCTGCTAAAATGAGGCTCTCACAACTCTCCTTTCTAGAGGACTCAAACAAAAGCACCCATGTTATGTTGTGCAAACCTTGCTGGAGGTGAGAGTTTATGGATGGTTTGTGGGTCCAAGACTGGCACACTAGCAAAATGTGTCTTCCACTCCATTCACTCTGTTAATAATTCAACAGGTGGTGGTAAGAGTATAGCGTTTATTTTATAAAACAAATAGTAAAGCTCACAATCTAATTAACGTTATGACATACAACACAATAATAATACGACACAAATATACGAAACAGACAAATCCAGACATTGTTCCGTACTCCAGACCAAACAGTAGTACTGAGAATACAGGGATGACGACACGTATCCAGGAGCTATTTTATACTCCAGACTAAACAGTAGACCTGGGATCACATATTGTCATACACTGGAGAGATCAGCCCCTGGAACTACCCCTTGGAGACAACTGACTCTCATAATACCAACCCTAAACAGGGACTGGCATCCGGTAAACCTTCGGACCCAACCGTCATACGCAGACACTGTTCAATTAACAATAATATGACAAATCAGAGAGTGGCTCCAGTAAACTCAACCAGCTATTAGCCCAGCACCCAACTCGTACTGCCTAATCTGACTTCTGGGTTTCCCTGGACCAACCGCTACTACCGTTATTACTTCCCTGCCTACCAAACAGTACCAAAACCATATTACCCACTATTCCTCCTCGTTAACTTTTAATGGTCACTTTCTTACTGGAGGTAAATTTCTTCACCCCTGTACATCGATACAGTAGAATCGATATTGATTCCACTAGGAAGTGTACTGACCCTCTACACAACTCCAACTATTCCAAAGTTACATCTTTTATATGTTTCCACCTCCACCTCCCCTTGTCACAGAGATAACCCCCACCCTTCTCAGGCTGCTTTGCAGAGAGATATGGATAACTTCTGGGCAGCCTTCCACAGCCTGCTTGTTTCTCAGGCTTAAGATAGGCAGGTGTCTGAGGCTATAGCATTTTCTTTCTGAGGTCCACTGTACCCACGTCTGTGTTCACGGACCTGATTACTCATTATCTCAGAGGAGTGAACATCTTCCCAGGAAAATATGAAATGTAATCAGAAGCTAACCTCAGCCCATCCAGCAAAGCTACTTTTAATCATTTAACTAGCAAACCTTCTGCTACTTTCAGTTGCTGTTTGAAATATATCCTGAGGTGATAGTCAATATATTTCAGTTTGAAACAACTCAGTTTGAAAATGACTGAGGTTGAGAAACAGCTTCACACGTTTTATCACATATGGCAAATGGAGGTGCTTCTAGAATGTGAGTTCCCTTACAACCAGGAACGTATTTTCTATTGTTTTCTAGCTAGAGTATGGGTAAACAGGAGTCTGATTGCAAATAAAACCTTTCACCTTCTTATTTTGCAGTGCTTAATGCCCTTTTCAGTTTCTACTCAAATGACAAGGCATACGAAACCTGGGACATTTATGCTGGCAGCGGATTTGTACGCGAAACAATCACTTGACTGTATTTGGCTTGGAAACTTCCATGGATCTCTGTCTCATGAATTTATGGTAACCTATAATTCTTTCAAATATTCATTTAAATCCCTCCAAAGACTTGCCTCACCCTTTCTCTGCAATCTCCTCAAACCATACCAACCCAGCCACTCCCTTCGTTCAGAGGACACCACCCTGCTTCATGTTCTCCACCCCATAATCTGCAGTCGGGCTTTCAACCTATCTGTCCAACTCGCTCGAATTCCCTCCCGAAGTAGTTCCGACTCGCTTGCTCGCTAATCTAGTTCAAGGTTCAAGACCTTGCAACTCCTCCCAACATAAAAGGCGTTATATAAATGTAATATTGTATCTTAGCTATGATGCATTGCTAGACTATTTATCAGCACTGAATAATCCAATGGAAAATTATTTTCAGTATGTTATTAAGAACATCTTTTAAATTGCACATGCATGTCTTATTGTATTTTAGGGATTTGTTCTCAAAAATATTCCTCAATGGATTCTGCACACTGACAGCATCCAAGAGATTCTGTTGAATTATTTGAAGAAGACCTGTGAAACTGAAGCTCAAACCTACTAAGTCGCATCATTTGCCCTTCACCTGATCTATTCTGTCAGTCTGCATGATATTGTACTTAAGCCTGAAAGTTTGTGTACAATGTTTTACATAAAATTAGACTCTGAAAATGTTAACACAGAGGTCTAATTTATAAGAGTGCTTTGTTTGAGGTGACCTTGCTTTGGTGTTGAGAATATTTTTCACTTCAATTATTTCTCGGTGAGTAATCATGTCCTGAGTAAAGGTGAGTTATAAAGGGATTGCTCAGGAATGCAATTTCTGTATCCAACAGTTGCTGTTTATGGATAAAGTAAGATTCAAATTACGGTAGAAATTAATTTTATTGTTTAAAATATTTCTACTGTATATTGCTACATCTTTAAAACTCCCTTTTGCTAACCTAGTGTCTACTAATGTATCTACCCATTGTTTCGAGAAATATCTATTCTTTATGAGAGGTTCTATCTAAAGTGCAATTTGCCATTGAAATGAAATAACTTGATATAAATTAATTAACCAATTAGTACCCCAGATACAGACTGATAAGTAGGTGATAATCTGGGCCAACAGAAAAGTGCAGAAATGTTTGATAAAAATTGCAGGGAGACTTGGAACTTTTTGCCACATTTTGCAGAAAATTGGTGTTATTGAGGTCCATTTTACTGCCAACCTACATTTTTTCGCTTTATTGATAAAAATTGAACTTAAGGAAATAACACATATTGGATTGTTGCGAAAAAAGTATTAATGACTTCTTTAACATGAACGGGGTGGCCTTTTTGGGGGGGCGGGGGGTCACCAGCGAGGCTACAGGAGCTCACCACCTCCCGCCTCTCAGGGTTGGCACTGCCCACAGACCCAAAGACCCAGAGAGAGATACACACACACACACACAGGGAAAGGCACACATACTCCCAGACACAGAGTGACACACATTCTCACAGAGATATACACACACAGACAGAGGAGAGGCACACATACACATTCACATAGAGACATTCAGAAACACACACATATAGAGGAGACACACGCAGACATGCTCACAAACATACAAACGGAGACAAACACACAGACACTTATACAGAGACACTTACATAACACTCACAAACAGAAAGACACACAGACACTAACAAACACACTTGGAGAGAGACTTAACAAACACAGACACACAGAGAGACACATACAGACAAACACAGGGACACAGACACTGACAAACACATAGAGAGACACACATAACAACAACTTGCACTTATATAGCGCCCTCCACGCAGTGGGTAGTGTCTCAGAGTGCCTAACAGTGGCGGAGCCTGACTCCGAGTTGGGGGTATGGGGGAGGTGGCCCTAAGCATGGTCAAAGAGGAAGGTCTTCAGGTGGGACTTGAAAAAGGGGAGAGAGGGGCAAGGCGGAGGGATTGAGGGTGGGTGTTCCAGAGTTTCGGGGCATAGTGGCTGAAAGCGCAACCTCTGATGGTGAGGCAGAGGGTGTGAGGGATGAGCAGGAGGCCAGTGCCAGACAAGCGGAGGCGCCGGGTGGTGGATTGGGAAGTGAGGAGGTTGGAGAGGTAGGGAAGTGCCAGAGAGTGAATGGATTTGAACAAGAGTGTGAGGATCTCCCGGGCTCACACAAGAGTGTGATGGGAGCCAGTGGAGCCTGGCCAGAACTGCTGAGATGTGGGTACGGAGTTTGGTCCGGATCAGTATATGGGCAGCAAAGTTCTGAATGAGCTGGATCTTTTGAATAGTGGAATATTTGGGGTAAGGTACGGTCAGAGGTGGGCAATGTGGTGGAGATGGAAGATGATGGTCCTGCTCAGGCACTGGATGTGGGGGAGGAAAGACAGCTGGGGGTCGAACCAGACGCCTAGATTGCGCACTGGTTTTGTGAGTCTGAGGGAGAACCCAGGGAGATTGAGGAGTTTAGATCCGCTGGAGTGAAGATATTTATGGGAGCCAAGGAGTATGGCTTCCGTCTTGTCCATATTCAGCTGCAGGAAGTTTACACTCCTCCAGACTCTGATGTCTGCCAGACAAGCTGTTAGAACATTGGCAGACCTGGAATTGGTACTGGAGGAGACAAAGTAGATTTGTGTGTCATCCACAACAGACGTCAACAACCACACACAGATAGAGACACAAACACACACTCACAAACACAGAAATAGTCACAGAAAGACACACACACACATAGAGACACACACACACACACAGAGACACACAGACACTCACAAACACACATAGAGACACAGACAGACACACACATAGAGACACAGACACAGAGACAACCATAACAGCACGGCCTCCAAGTGAAGCCCATTGGCCGCTTGTTCCGCAAATGGGCGTCCAGAGACACCCCGCCCACAGTGACATCAGGTGACCACCGAGTGGCCCCTCGGGCCAGAAACATTGGTAGCGGAGGAAGGTATTTATAGCGGATTCCGCCGGATTTTCTATTGCCTCAGGTGATAATGTGTAAAATAATACAATTTTATAGCACAGAATGGGGCTATTTGACTCATAAAATACAAATGCAAGGATTATTATTATTATGATCCAGTCTGCACTGCCTCTCAGGACAAGGTGCTCCTTCAGCTCTGTTCCCAATCGGGTTACTCTCTGCCAGGCAAGCACAATCTATTGCACAATGAGCAGAAAGCAGGGTTGGGCCAACCTTACAAAAGATGATCTTTATCCCAGTTTCTAGAAGTCTGGAGCCTGATTAAAGTAAAGCTCCAGGAGTTTGCTCAGAAATCTAAAGGCTTTGGGGTTGGTCGCCCATTGGCCTAGTGGGTAAAGACATGGCCCAGTTGCAGAATGAAGCATAGGGAGCTAGAAGGTCTTAGGTTGAAGTCGGGGTATTAAGGGATACAGGGAGAAAGCTCAAAAGTATTTTGGTTTACAGTACTTCAGTCATTCAACCGAACTCTGGAGAATGAAAATGATTTGAATAATGTGCTTCCTTAATTCATGAAAAAATCCACTAACCTCATAATGTTCATATTCATCTACATCAAATGTATTGAAATCAAAGAATTCATACTGCAAAGCCTGGGAAGAAATTTTAAACGTGTTAGATTTGATAATTGAGAACATTGCACAAGACGAAAAAATTGTCAGTGGAGGTAACATGAAGTGCACGGTCACAAGACTTCTTCATTCCATATTACTCACTATATTCACAGAATCCCAGTTAATGATAGTAGAGAATGGATTCTTACCTTGCTCACTGCGCATAAACAGTCCAGAACTGTTAGATTGTACGTGCAAGTGCCAAATGAAGCATCCCTGGAACGCAATGACAAGAGTACATACATGTCTGTTACACATGCTGCACTTGGCATGAAGCCACCCACGAGGGATGGCAATAGCTGCATTGATCTCTAGAGAGCTGGTTCTAATCAATCAACCACCAACAACAAATTACATTTGTACAGCGCCTTTCATGTTGGGAAGACGTCCTAAGCTGCTGAACAGACAAGGATTTAGATCCGAGCTGGGGGTTGGGATCAGGAGGTGTGGAGGGCAGGAACGGTAGAGGTAGGAGGGTGAGACACAATCAATCAACAGAGTCCATGCTTTTTTATTGCTTTATTACGCTTCAGAATGTTATTGCTTTATTACACTTCATACCACTTTGATACTGTCAATAATGTTACTTTAGTCACCCACTTGGAGTTAACTTGTTATGATTATTTTCCATCCCCTTTGTTCCAGTTTGCACTCTTCATTTTTGATTATCTCAAAATTATTCTTCTGATGAAAATACTTATTGTTTTGATAAAAATAGCATTTTCAGGGGAGCAGTTTGTTTTGGGTTTTTACAGCCCAATTATTTTTCTAACATGTCTCTGCTCCTGGTCGCCAGCCTTCTCTTGTGTCGCGTTTCCACAGGAGTTAGTTATGCTCAATCCCGCCCAAGATTGGGGCCATTGTTTATGTGGCCCTTAGCAGTGGGTGTCAGCAGATGGAGTTGACATCTCTTTGCCTGGCTGCCACACACATCCATCACCAGTCGAGGGTGCTGAACAGGGATCGGTTATCCTGACTGGTTTTACCCTCCTCAAACTCTGAGAGAACCAGGGCTAATTGTAGTCCTGTAATTTGTGGAGTCCTGTAGATCAGTGGTTAGAGCACTTGCCTCGCAAACAAGAGGACTTGGGTTTGATTCCCTACAGAAACATTGGGGAAGTTTGGGCAGGGTGAAACGTTGGGCAAGTTTGGGTGGGGTGATATGTTGGGAAGGTACTCCACACACATCTGTTTACCTAGCAGTGAGTAGTAACCCGGTTGTTAGTCAATTGGTGAATATATTTACCGTATATTCTGTGAAGTGCTTTGAGACATCTGGAAGACGTGATAAGACGCTATATCAAATGCAAAGATTATTATTATATATGCAGCGTCGATCAAGACCACAAAACTGAGCACAGAGAAGGATTCAAGCCAGTGAGCTCCACAAGCTGCAGCTCAATCCAAACAAACTTGATGTTTACTGGTAAAGTGAACAGGAAATGTCCTCTTCAAATAGCATAATTATGTTTCCTTAAACATGTTTCTCCAATTTCTCAATTTTAAAAAGTTCATTTGAACTGCACACAATATTGCAACTTTCCTAAAAATCAGCTGATTTGGGACATCCTCCTGACGTGAAAGGCACTATACAAATGTAATTTTGTTGTTGTTGACTTGCATTTCAGATGTCGATTTTTTAAAAAACTTTTAATTTAATCATCTGCTCCAAAACACTTCTGGCACATTTTTTTTAAAAAAATCACAACAACAAAATTACATTTGTATAGCGCCTTTCACATCAGGAGGACATCCCAAGGCGCTGGACAGACAGAGTTATGAACCCAAGCTGAGGGTAGGGTTGGGGGAGTGTGGAGGGCAGAGGGCAGCAAGGAGATTGAAAGCACGGTCAAAGAGAAGGGTCTTGAGATGGGTCTTGAAGGTGGCAATGGAGGGGCTGAGGCTGAGGGACTGTGGTATGGAGTTCCATAGGGTGGAGACAGAGTGGCAGAAGGCCCACCCGCTAATGGTGGGGCGGGCGAGGCGGGGGACGTGAAGCAGCCCGGAGCCCGCTGAGCAGAGGGAGCGAGCAGGATGGTAGGGGGGTTAGGAGGTCATGGAGGTAGAGCGGAGCAAGACCATGGAGGGCTTTGAACTTCCTTCTCAATTTTGGGCAGCCAGATATGACACAAGTGGAAATCCACTGCCGTGTTTAAGAGTTTCAAAACCAAACCACTGAGCATTCTGCATACTCACCTTTTCAACAGCCACGATCTTCCTCACAGAAATACATACTTGTCACCTCTTCGATGTACTATTTTTTCAACAAAAGAAACTGCATCAAACTCCCCCAATGTCCTAGCGGGTAAATGGAGCAGACAGTGCAGCAACAAACCAGGCAGACCACAATATTGCAGGTCAGTGTTGAGTTTGGTGATCACCAGGCAGCAGTTGTATTGCTACAATTGGCCTTGGATCTCCTGAAATAAGGGAGGTGGGAGGATCCTGATCACCAGCCAGAGCCTCGTGCTGGAAGGTGCATGTGTGAGCATCTGGCAAGAATAGAAATGTGCTTGACTGCTACCCCTTCCCCCTCAAAAAACAACTACAGGTTGGAATAACTTTCCAACAAAAATGCACACAATTAAGGCTTACACATAAA